CCTGGCTGACAGGTGGGGGCTGTGTCTTTGCTATTTGATTCTCCCTTCTCCCAGGTGAGAGAGCTCTGCATCCAGGAGGCTTTGAAAAATGCCGGCTGGCACGTTTGGAGAATGCTGGCATAATGTCTGCCACAAAGTAAGGGCTCCATTTACCTAGTTGGTAGTGAATACACAGTTAGTTAGTTGGCCCGTGGAGTCAACTAAAGAGCAGGAGCTTTAGAGCCCAGCTAGAGCTGGTGGAAGTCACTTGGTAGCTTTATCATGCGGTAGCTGTGTGACTTTGGAAGAGTTACTTAACCTCTCTGAGCCTTGGCTTCCTCATTGGTAAAATGGGACTTTGATAGGGTTGTTGTGAGGATTAAGTAAGACATGATAATGCTTGGTACAGTATGAAGTACCTGACAAAGTCCTAATAAGGCTGTAGTTATTCTGGCTAGCGATGTCACCTCAGGTAAGTCACATAAACCTCAGTTTCCGCATCTGTTGTCCCCGGCAGGCACATCACAGGCCCTGAGTAAATGGGAGCCCGGCCCCGCTCCTGGGCTAGGCCCCCTCCACTTCCTCAAGGTCTGCTCCATGCTAGGCTCTGTGATCTCTGCGCTCCCTTCTGTGACACCCTCCACCCCCGCTGTCACCCAGACCCTGGGACTCGCCCAGCATCAACACTCACAGGTGCTTGGCAGTCCATGGGCTCCCCAGGTTTGGGGGTTAGGGAGCATGGGAGGGGGTGGGGTCCCTGGAAGGAGGCTGGGGGCAGAGCAGGTACAGTTCTTGGATAAACATCCAAGTCCTGCCTCTGACCAAGGACTGAAGGGCTCCAGGTGGGTCTCAGCCGGCAGGTCTTGTTCTGCAGAGGACGAGGAAGGCCGGCTGGTGTGTCCTTGACCCACCCGGGGCCGCCCTTCCCATTGTTCTCTCTGCCCTTCTTCCCCTGGACCCCGAGAGGTTGCCAGCAGCACCCCTCGGCAGCCGGGGTCCCCGAAATGGGGCTATGAGGACAAGGCAGGTGGCGGCGAGAAACTTTAGTGCAGGCGGGACAGCACTGTCCAGGGGGTCAGCTGTGGGGGCAGAAGCCGGAGCTCCTGGGTGGGAGACAGAGGTGGTGCCACGTAGGTGATGGGTTCCCGGCACCTGGTTTGACCACAGGCCTCTAGCCAAGCCACAGAACACTCCCCACCCCCCCCACCCCCCCCCCCCACCCCCGGCCTGGGAAGAATGCGCCATTCCGTCTTTGCACATGCTCCTGCCCCCGCTGCAGTCTCGCCAGGGCCCTTTGCGCAAACCGTGCAAGACGAATGTGCATGCGTTTCCAGGCTTCTCGTTAAACATTGGAAAAAGGTTCGGGGGCATTTCATCCGCAGCATCTGTTGAACTTCAACCACGTCAGCTATTGACTCGGATCGAATATAAACTGTTCCGGCCTAAGGAAGCTCTGGCCCAGGCACGAGAAGACGCAAGTCGTGTTTCCTCATCGGCCCTCGTGTCCGCGGGCACCGCGGCCAGACCTCGGGGCGTATTGCGCCACCCGGGAACGGAGCCGGCCGGAGCCGGCAAAGCCTGACCTCGCCCGGCGCCCTGCGCCCTGCTCGGGTGGGGACTGTTTACTCACACAAAGAGGAGCCCTCGGGGAGGCCAGACTTTGTAGTGGTCACTGTGGCAAGAGAACAACCCAGCGAGTTAAGTCCCTGGGGTTAGCGAGCAACAGACAAAAATAAGGTTACGTTGGTCCTCAAAGTAAATACGGGAGGGAAGGAACCCACCGCGGCCAGGAAGTCTAAGGCGGCCGCCGCGTGCACGCACCCAGCGGAGCCTATGGGAAAGTTCACGTCCCCTTTTTTTCTGGTTTCGGAGGAGCCCAGTGGAGTTGCTGTAGTCTAGGGCTGCTTTGGCTGGTGAGCAAGGGGGCTGTGGAGCCTTTTCTGCAGCTGATCCCTGGTCTGGGTCTCTTTCTGGGCTTGAAATGAGAATGCAGGGGTAGGGAACCCCGGGTGATTGTCAATGAGGCTGCTACTCCCTGCCACGCCCTTTGGACGTCTGCTCCGGTGGAGTGGGGGCTGGGAGGGTGCACCGGGTGGATTTTTTGAGTTGAAGGAGAGGCCTCGCCCTCTTTCTCGCCCTGGGGTTTTTCTAGGAGCTCAGACCAGGAAAGCTGGGTCATTACTAACCCCTTTCGGATCGAAGAAGGCCCACCTGCCTCCTACCGAGACTCACACAGCCGCTGCCTCCTCATCCGGGCCTGGGAGGCCCTGGAAGCTTGTGTGTGTGTGTGCAGGGCCAGAGGGGGAGGGGGGCATCTTCCTGCCCCCACCCCCACCCCAGGATGCTCTCTGAGTCCCGCCCCAGCCACGCAGCCCCTACAGGCCAGTCCGGCCTCACCTTCCCCTGCCTTCTGCTCCTCTCCCTTCCTCCTGGCTTTTGCCTTAACTCCCACCCCATCACTCTTACGGGACTGCTGCTTCTCTTTCCCACTGTCTACCCTCAACACAGAAATGCAGCTGAGAGCCTCCTTCCCGGAGAGGATCCTTTCTTTAAACGGCCCATTGTCTGATTTCCTTTGTGCCTGTGGCCGTATTTCTATAGCACTTCATTCTTCCAGGCCAGTGGCATGGACGAGAACTACAGAACAGGGAGAGGGGACGGTCCCCATAGGGGCCTGGCCACGGCAGAAGAGGGACGGTGCCGGCCAGAGAAGAGCTGGCCGTGTGTGCCAGGGCGGGCTCGTGGGAGGCCGGGGAAGGTGTCTGGAAGGAGCTCGGAGCCTGGATTCAGGCTCCAGTGTTGCCGAGAGCCCCTGGGAGGCCCCTGGGAAGTTATTCCCTCTCTGAGTCTCACCCACTCCCCGGTCAGTTGGTGGGAAGGACAGACGGACCGATCTCAAAGGTGCCCTCCATCCAGCTGGACTCACCAAGTGTCCAGGGGTGGACATGGGGCTGAGGAATCGAATGTGGTTTCCTTGGGGTTTGCAGCTTTTTTGTTTCAAGCTACCATTCATTAGACCTCTCAGTGACCGTCAGTGACACCTCCATAAACATGCCTGAGCATTTTACAGACACGGGTTCTTTTACCCCCCACCCCCACGACCCTAGGAGGCAGGGACTGCCGGCATCCCCGTGACCCGAGGAGGAAACAGAGGCACAGGGAGACCAAGGAATCGGCCCAAGCGGCGCAGTGGTGGTTCAAACCAGGCCGCCTGGCTGCAGAGCCCGAGCTCCTCACCACCACGCTCCACATTCCAGGCGCCGGGCTAAATGTCCGCCAAGTCCTCTCTCCACCGTGCCGTTAAGAAATCTGAGACTCAGAGCAGTTGAGCAACAGCTGAAGGTCACACAGCTGGGAAGCGGGAGAGAGGAGATTGAAAGTCGGCCGGGCTCCAGGGCCTCTGTTCCCCCTCCCCGCCTTCCCCCCTACCTCCAGCAGTCCTGCCAGAGTCTCGGGTCCCCGAAGCACATTTACCCAACACCCCTACATTGCAGTATCTCTTTCAGCAAGTCCCTTCCTCCCTCTGGGCCTCAGTTTCCCAATCCGGAGGTTGCTCGGGTGTTAGACCAGCAGATCTTTGAGGTCCCTTGCAGCTGTGGAAGGCCATGCCATGTGAAGTGTGGTGCTTCTGGCTGAAATGACAGGTCTGTGGCCTGGGGTTGCAGCCAGGGATGGCGAGGGGACGAGGGGCTGGCGATGGGAAGAAGGGGAAAGCTGCAGGAAACGCGGAGGGGCTGTGGGGGGCTGTGAACTTGGGACGATGGGGCAGTATACGAAGGCGAGGAGGGAGAAGGAGAGAGAGCCACACCCTGAGGTGGGGGTCAGGGGGCGCTGCTCCAGTGAATCGGTTCCCTCTTCCCAGGGGGTCCCCCAGAGCTCAGGGCAGGCATGTGAAAGTGCCGGGCTAGCGAGGAGGGCCAGGAGAGCCCCAGGCCCAGGTCAGAAGGCCTGGCGTACAGCAGCGTGGGGAGGTAGCACTGCTGGGGCTTCGTTGTCTTCGTGAGTACGTGGAGACGTCCAGTCCTTGTAGGAGAAAGGTGTCTGGGGCCGAGGCGGCATGTTTGTGCAGTTGGCCTGTTCACGACCGCTCTGTGACCCTCCTCCCCTTCAGGAACGGAGGGTCCTTCCCCACCTGCCGCCTCGTTAGGATGTGCACGCCAGAGGGCTCACACACACACACACACACCCAGGCATGTCCCCCTTGGGGCCCCGCAGGCACGTGGGATCACCCCTCGCCCTGTGCTCGCTCGCTGGCACACAGTTGCGGCTTTTCAGTTTGGAAAATTGGTGGAATCAACTTTTGCAGGACTTTCTCAGCCCGCTGAGCTATCACAGCACGGGCCCCTTCAGATCGCTCCTCATGCGTCTCAGGGTGGACTAACCTTCTGTCTGGCCCGAGGAAACAGAGTTCTGGGCAGACATCAGGGTGCCCGGTGACATGGATCCTGGGCCTGTGTGGGACAGTGGCTGTTCCCCATCCCTGCCCCTCTATGACCAGTGTCCACACCATGGAAGGTCATTGCTGCAACTGTGGCCAGTGGGGGGGGGGTGCTGTGGGTGGCCTGGCTCCCAAGCATTCAGCAAGGCATCCAGCGGCCTCTCACATGGGCCCCATCCCAAGCCCCTTAGTTCCGCGTGCTGAGGGCTGCACTTCCCGACTCATCTGGGACAGGGGAGCAGAGTGAATTCCCACACATGGAGGTTACGGGGACAACGCGGCTCTTTACAGAGCTCTGCTCAGGCCAGCGTCCCCGGATCAACGCTGGGCACGAGAGCTTCGGTCCTGTCCCATGAGCTCTGGAAGGCTCTTTGCAAGATGGACACATCACAGGTACTTCCTGTTCTCCTACCTTTCGGCCTCTGGGGCCTGTGTGGTTGGACAGGCTCAGAGCAGAGCTCAGGGGCCTTCTGGCTCTGAGCGTCTCTGAGAAATGAAGACTGGGACGGGGAGAGGGAAGTGGGGGTGGTCAGGTGGGGCGTGGGGGTTTGCAAAACAAGAACACACTCATTTGTCATGTACCAAAAAAAATTTTTTTTTTCCTTTCTTTTAAAGCTCTTGTTTCCTCAAGGGGAAAAACTTTTATTTGTGTATGAGTAACATGCACTCTCTTAATGAACTGGAAACAGAACAGGATGACATTCTTTTGTCCCTGTGACGAAGAACAAAGCAGCAGCATGTTGGCCTCCGGCAGCCAGCATTGTCACCCACACCCTGGCCCCTAGCCTTGCTCTCGGCCCCCTCCTCCGTCCTATTGGAGCGGAGACACACGTCATCCCCGCTCGGAGCCTTGGCTGGGGACTCAGCTTTGGCCGTCCGGAGGCAGCTAGCCTGGCCTGCAGGAAACACCACGCCTCTCCCGGAGCGCTCGAGAGAGGGAAGTGTGCTTTTAGGGAGGTTCAGGGTTGCCATTTTTTGCTGGTGTGGATGATAGTGGAAAAAGAGAGAGGAAGGGAGGAATTCAGAGCGTTAGTCGACCCAGGGGCGTCTCCCTTTCCCTGACAAGCAGTCTTCCCACCACCTCTGGTCTGGGGGAGATACAGCGTTGCTTCCTGGAAGACCTCGCTGCAGCCCCTGAAGGCTCCCTCGGAGGGCTCCCCAGGCCCTTGTACCCGCCCTGGCTCTCACCAGCGCCTGTCCCTTCTCTTCAGGAGGTGTGAACTTTCTCGACTTTCACTTTTGGTTTTTGGTTTAGGGGACAACAGCTTTGGTATTGGAGCGTTGCTGGATCTGGTAGCTTATCCGCCACGCCTCTGCAGACTTGGTTGAGGTAGCTAGCATGGGGCGGCATCTGTCTCCTGCGGCATGGGCTTTCACCACGAGATCAACCTGAAGGGCCAGAACCACCTTTTCCTCAGCAGCTTTTGGGTCCTGAGTTATGTCATCTGCCCCCTGTCCCCAGCCGTGGACCCTGGGAAAGTTTAGGGTTAGGGTTCGGGTTAGTCCAGGCAAGAGGAGCCTCTACGGGGAGAAGGTGGTGGTGGTCTCGGCCTCCACGCTCATCGAGGAACGCCGGATGTGCCGGCAGGAAGACCACTGCCGGATCTGCTGCTGGCTGAGGCAGCCCAACTCCTTGAAGAGCTTGAAGAGGTCATTGCGAAACTTGACGCCGATGAAGGCGTACAAGAAAGGGTTGACACAGCAGCGGACGCAGGCCAGGCTGTAGGTGACATCGTAGGCGATGTTGAGCTGCTTGCTGAGCTCACAGCTGCTGGCGGTGGTGATGTTGAAGTTGGCCACGGTCTGGGCCAGGACCACCCCGTTGTAGGGCAGCTGGAAGGCTATGAAGACCACCACCACGGCGATGATCACCTTGATGGCCTTGTTGCGTTCGAAGTTGCGCGCCTGCAGGAGGGTGCGGATGATGACGAGGTAGCAGAAGCTCATGGCCAGCAGGGGGATCAGAAAGCCCACCACCATCTGGGCCACCTGGACGGTGATCAGGGCCTCCACGTGCTCCGTGATGAGGGAGCACCGCAAGGCTTGCTCGCTGCTGCTCCTCTGGATGCCGCTGTACAGCAGCTCCGGGATGGCCAGCACCGTGGCCAGCATCCAGATGCCCACACAGGACAGCTTGCTGATGAAAAGGACCCGGGCCCGGTGGCGGTGGGCCGAGATGGCCTGGACGATGGCCACGTAGCGGTCGATGCTGATGCAAAGGAGCAGGAGCATGCCGCTGAAGAAGCTGATCTTGTAGATGCCGAAGATGAGCTTGCACATGTGGATGCCGAAGGTCCAGGACTTGGCTGCGCTGTACGCCCAGAAGGGCAGGGTCACGAGGAAGAGGATGTCCGCCACGGCCAGGTTGAGCAGGTAGGTGTCGGTCATGGTCTTGAGTCTCTTGAAGTAGATGTAGGTCAGCACCACCAGCCCGTTGCCCAGCAGGCCCACGAAGCAGATGGCGGAGTACATGATCGGGAGGAACCAGGCCTTGAAGTTCCGCACGTCCTTCTTGAAGCACACCGACTCGTACAGCGTGTAGTCCACCGTGGTGTTTTCTCCCAGGTAGTCGTCCGTGACCTCATCTTGGCACAGGCACACCTGCGGGGAGGGGAGCAGGGGAGCGTGATCCAGCTGAGCGTAAGTGGGCGGGACTCGTGCTGTTTTGGGGTGGCCCGGAGCCGCGGTTTCCAGGTGCGGTCAGCCCCGTCCTCAGCACCGCCCTCACCACCTCCCCCCTGCACATTCTCGGGCCCCACCTGAGACCCATGGTGCCAGGATCTTGGGGAGCGGGGCCCAGGAGTCTGCTCTTCTGAACTTTCTGGGAGGTCCTTTGGTTGGAAACCAGTGCTGCTCATATTTTGAGTTAACATATATGAGTGACCCGGAGATCGTGTTAAATAAAGCACACGTCCTAACTGACTGGGCTGGGGCAGGGGCCTGTGGGCCTGCCTTTCTACAAAGTAGGCAGCCCCTGATTTTGCCACCTCTGAGAGACTTGACCTTGCCTGTGCTGACAGTGGGCCGGGGACGGTCTGGGCTTTGGGGTCCCAGGGGCCTTGAGACGGCGGCGAAACACACTCCGTCTCTCGGAGCCTCGGTTTTCTCTGCGAAACGGAGATGACTGCCGTTTCCTTCCCAGGGTTGCTGGGAGGCACGTGACCCAGGGCCAGGCACCGATTTGTCTGCACGGAGGTTTTATGTTGGGGGGAGCTGTGGCTTTTTTTTCCTGAGCCTCCTTCAGAACCTGGTAGAGAGAGCTTCCCGGGACGGAGCCTACAAAATACCTCAGCTTTTGGGGGAAGACCCACCTTGGGGTTAAGGTGGCGGAGGGCCTGGAGTGAGAAGAGAGGAAGGCAGAAGCTCTGTTACGAGGAGACTGCGTAGCCCTGGTTTGGGGCAAGCTGCCGTGCTCACGGGTGGCAAGCGACTTGCAGACTTTTATGGACCCCCGAGGCCTGGGCCGCAGTGTCCGGGCCACAGCAGGGGCTCAGGCAGCACGTGCCCAGGGCGCTGAACTCCACGGCTATCGCAGGCACGAATTTTGGGCCCGCAGGGCCGCCACCTCCTCCACTGGGACCAAGTCCTCGCGGAGACCTTGGAGGAAAGCCCAGCTTTCTCTCCTCCCGCCTCCTCCCACCTCTCTGCCTCTCTCTTCCTCCGAGCCTCTTCAGCAGATCCCCAGCAGCAGGGCTCAGATGCTCAGTGCTTTTTTTTTTTTTTTTTTTGAAAGCCTGTCTGCAGAGTAGGGTATGGGTTTCATTGGTCTGCTGTGATTTTATCAATGAGGAAGGGCTCCCGAGTCTGCTCGCGCCTCTGTGCACAGCGACGCGGTGACGGCGGAGCCTGGGCAGGGCTGGGGGCTGGGCTGGGGGCTGGTGGTCGCTCCCCTGGGCATTGGGGTCTGGGCAGCTCCACATGGAAGATTCTCATACAGTTGGGGAGCTGGAGGGGTTTTAAAGATGAGGAAAGGGAGGCAGGCGCTCGGAGAAGCGATGTGGCTTGCTCCATCCGGGTTCCAGCCCCATCTCCCAACTCCCCTGTGCCGTTCTGTCTTTCTCCCTTTCAGTTCTGGATGCACCGTGCTCCTGCGTGGGGGACTGGGTGAGGAAAAAACAATGGCCAGGAGCTTTTCCTGTGGGTGTTGTTTTCCCTCATCTGGGTGTGACCGCAGCCTGCAAGTCCATGGCAAAGCCCGGGGCCTCAGGTCTGCGGCCGCCGGCCGTAAGGGGGTTCTGGGCCTTCCTGGAGGACCATGTGCGAGGCCCCCGTGAAGTGTGCTCACTACCACTGCCGTTATCTTCTCTTTTCCTCCTTACCAGCCTCCCTCTCCATGAGCCACCGGGCTCGCTGCCTCCACAGCCCACAGCCCCACCACATCCTGCCCCGTCGGAGCCATTGCCACCCACCCAAGAGAAGAATGAACCCCAGCTTTCCCTCAACCCCTCCCCCGCCTTCCAGCCTCCTCTGGTAGTACTACAGCCCCCCCTCTGGAGTCCTGGAAACAGGGAAGAGAGCGGGGGAGGGAGCGGTGATGGAGAAAGGGGCCAGGCTGAGGGCTGCAGCCCAAGCTCCAGGGGGCCTCTGGGATGGGGTTTTGGGAACAGTGCCCAGCGTGGGGCCCGCCTCTGGCCACAGCTCCTGGAAAGCTGCCCCTCTGGCCTGCAGGCCTGGGGAAGAGCCAGATTCGAAGAAGCACCGCCTCCCCAGCCCTGGTCCCAACGGCCCCCTCCCCCTCCAAGACAGCTTTCACCCCCCAACAAATCCGGGAGAGTCGACTGCGCTGCTCGAGTTACAGTTCTTTCCAACTCTGGCACTTGGATGGGGGGCGGATTGACTGTCCCCACTTCGGGGATTGAGAAGCAAAGCCTTGGACACTGGAGGCCTTTCCGCCTGCAGAGCTCAGGCCCCTCTAAGTATGTGTGTGTGCCCCTTCACGCCCTCCCATGCCCACGGTGCTGGGCCCCAGACTCCCTTGCAGTGGGGTTCAGAGGGGTCTCTATTTCACAAAAGGGAACTGGGCTTCTAGGGGAGCTTTCGGCTGGAGGTCGAGGAGGGAGGCAGCCTCGGGGTGCTAAGACAGTAAGCAGGCCGCCACACCAAAGGTTCTTCTCTCAGTTCACCCAAACACGTGAAGTTTTACAAGCACAGGCGTGCGCGCATGTCTGCACGGCTCAGTAACCGGACAGCCTTCGCTTTTGCAGCTCCTCTCTCTCTAAGAGTGCAGCCGGGGCTCACTTCTCTGTCCCTTGCATGGGGATATGGGAAGTGGGTGAGGAAGGGGTGGTGACTTATTTCCCTCATGTTGCAATTTAAATGGAGTAAATGTTCTCTAGGGTCACTCAGCAGATGGAGCGGGGCGACCATCAGCTTAACGAAGGGCGAGGGGGTTAGTGTCTGGGTTGGTTTCTTTCCAACAAGCGGCCAGCTGCTCCACCCGAACCTCGGACTTGGGAGAGGCGGGTTTGGGGACGGGGGTGTGGAGGAGGGAACGGACCTTACCTGGAAGATGACAAGGAGAGCCACCGCCAGCACGCTTTTCATTGGCTTCCCTGCAGGAGACAAGGTGAGAAAGTTATTGCCTGGCAGGCACAGCTCTTTGTTCTTAAAGAAGGTCGCAGAGACAAAGATGCTGGTGGACCTTCCATCACAAGCCCCAGGCACGGCCTGTGCTGAAACAGAACTAGGAACCAGATTGTGCCTCGAGGCCTCTGCCTGGCTGGCCTTGCTGCCCTCACCTCCTCCTCCTCCTCCTCCACTGCGAGGTCCCAGAAGGGAGCACAAGGCCTGACGTGTCCCAGGTGCAGGACCGGCTCTCGCCACTCAGCTCTGCTCTGTGGCTGATCTGAGGGCTGGACCTGGAACTTCTTTCCCCCCCAGGAGGACAGGTCACAAGGTAGTTTGTGTTGACGTCTTATGTCACGCAACAGCCTGAGAGCACCCGAGGGAGGGAACTGTGCCTACTTTACCTCTGTAGCTCCTCTCCATTCCTCGACCCTCAGGGGAGTCTGTGATGCCAACCATGAATGCCAAGCCAAGGTTACCAGCCCTGTTGCACCTCTAGTCTCAGTAGGGACAGGGGAGTGGCCGGGACTCTGCATTAAACACCTTCTAGAGCACCCCCCCAACCCTCTACCCCTCCCCAGCAAACACAGGCTCCTGCTTCCCAAGAGGAAGTAGCACTTTCCCAAAGTCTGTGTACTTGGTCACAGCACCACCTGCTGGAAATCCTGCTGCACGACACCCAGGCTTGCTTCAAGTGGGGATTCTGAGCTTGGGAGTCCCTGGGGGATGGAGGAAGGGCGTCAAGCCAGGTACATAGATATATGTTCCTCCCACCTCAAGCAAATTATACTGCATGCTGTTGCTACACACGTCTTCCTAAAGCATGACTTGGATGCAACCCTCCTCCTAAATCCTTAGGACCTTTGTACCCAACCCTAGGGAGGAGCGAGACCCTGGTGCTTAATGAGCAAGGCGGCCAAGCCCCCTGCTGTCTTCCTAACCTTCCTCACTGCGTGTTTTATTTCTGGGGACAGGCGCCCACTGTCCCGTTGTCCCCAGCTTGCACCGGAGTACTTGCCACCCTGGGAAGAAACGGGGCGCCGTGCAGCATGGAGCCCCTCTCCCGCCACCCCCTTGCTCGCTGTGCCGAGCATGCAGCCGTGCCTCTGCCCGAACAAGCCTCTCCTGGGGTCCCGTGAGGCCACGGCCCCTTCTCCACTGACTCATCTCACTGTGCAGCACTCGAGGTTTCTTTAAACTCACAGTCTGTCGGTTGCGCTAGAGAAAGCCCGTTCTGACTGTCGGTGAGAACCGAGAAACCTCAAAGTTGTGATACAACGGGTGAAATAGTAGCGAGGGCTGTTTCCATTTTACTCTGTTAACCCCTGCTCTTGGGCGCTGCCCCGTTCTGCGTTGCCACTGTCTAGGGTAGGGTGCAGGAGTTGGGGTGTGTGTGTGTGTGTGTGTGTGTGTGTGTATGGGTGTGTAGGTGGCTTCTCATTCCAGGTGTGCTGGAGGGGACAAAGGATCTTGCAGGACCCAAACAGACCATTTTCATGAAAGGTTAAGCAAGTGGGAACTTCGGGGAACTCTGGTATCTGTGGCCCAGGGGGCCGGTTGGCGGCCGTGAGTCACACCGTCTCTGCTCGTTACCCAGTCATACAGCAACTTTCTCTGGGCAGCACCCTGGGCGGGACAAACGAAGCAGGGAATCTCAGGAGCTGAGGCATGGTCTGCTTATGTGCTGGGTATTTTCTCAGTTCTTGCGTTTAGAGTAATAAGCATAATGAAAAGAAAATTCCCTAGAACTCCAGCCTGAGGCCTCAGCGAGAGAAACTTCCTTTTTATCTGGGAGGACGTCACTGGCTAGCTGCTGCCCTAAGCCCTGAACTTCTCCCCCCGACATTTCCCAGGCCCTTCGGGCCACCCCAGGGGAGTCACAGCTGCCCATCAGCTGGCCCCAAAAGCCACCCCCAACTTTTTCTTCTTTGTAATTCCTTAGCTGCCAATATAACTGTTCTCTTTTTTGGTCAGTGGAGTGGGGGGCGGGTAGGAGGAAGCAGGGGAGTGGTAGGAACCCGGAGAGGAGGCGAGAGGCCTGGGGACTCTCTCTCAGACAACAGGCAGGGCCGGAGGAGGGCTGGTGGCCTCTCACAGTCACTGTGATAATTCATAATTCATATTTATTGGGCCCTCTCTATATACCAAGATGTTTGCACGTACGATCGTTTCCTCTGCACAAGAGCCCCATGAGGTGGGTGCTGCTGCCATTCCCATTTAGCGACGAGGACACTGACGCACAGAGGGATTAGTAACTTTCCCAGAGTCGCAACTGGCCAGCACGGAGGTGGGCTTTGAACCCGTCTGACTCCAGAAATGGCCGTCCGAACCGCCCCTCTGTGCGGCTGCTGAGTCTGTTCGCATCTCTCTTTCGTAACACCCTGTGACTTATCCCTTCTTATCCTCGTTCTGCATTTCAGAAAAGAGAGGCCCAGAGAGGATAAGCCACTTGCTTAGGGTCACACAGCTGCTAAGAGACGGGTGTGAGATCTGAATGGAACTTTCACCAATGCGTAACCCTACATTCCCACGCGCCTGCTCTGTGTGAGGACCTCCGTGGAGCACAGAGGAAGTCCTCACTGCCCCGGGTCGCAGTGGTCACCCGTCCTGCTGCTTTTCTCCCCCGGCACCTCAGAGCTCACCCCATCTGTCCCGACACAAGGCTTTGCTGCCCCCTTGCTGCCACGGAACTCCTTCTGAAACACCAATCTCATCCCTTAACTCAGCTAATTGGAAACAACAACAACAACAACATAAAACTTCACTGGCTCCCCACCACTTTCGGGGTAAAGCCCAAACTCCTTAGCAGTGCCATACAAAGTCTGAGGGGTCAGCCCTGCCTGTCCGTCCTGCCTCCTGTCCCCTCCCGCTTTGGCGTGGCCGGCGCTGACCATCTGAGAGCCTGCAGGCTGAGCCCCCAGGATACGCTCTGTGTCTGCACGGAGTTTACAAAAAACTAGGGTTGGCGGCCTTTGAGTGGAGCTTGCACCCTCTGGTTCACCCTGCTCCCTCTCCTTACTCCATCGTATGCCCACTCCCACATTTACCTGGTTGGCCCCTGAGGACTATTGAGTCTGATATCACTGTCCCATCTGGGACCTCTTGCTCCTTCGGTGGTCGGCTCACTCGTACACACCCTTCCAAACCCCACGTAAATGCTCCCCCGACTCACGTTCACTGTTCCTTTCTTTGAGCCTTAGAAGCATTTTGCCCATGACCCTGTCTGCACTGCCTCTCACTCTGCATCGGCCTGGGGACTTATGCCTCTCCGTGGCGGGTCATGGCTGAATTCCCCAGTCGAGGATAGTTGGTGGAAAGAAAGTACCAAGCAAAGAGGGGAGATTTCCCACAGCTCTCTGAGGCTGCAACATTCCCCTCCGCCCTGGCCAAGCTCCCAGAAGGCTGGGAGGGATTGGCCCTGAATTCCTTCCAAACCCCCCTCTGCTGCCATGGCTGACCGAGCTATGAGAGAGGAATCTCTGGCAGGTTTATTTATTTATTTTTTCTCTGCTTAGGAGAATTCTAACTGAGGTCTCAGGCCATACTTCTTTTCTTTTTTCCAATCTTCATCGGAGGATATTTTCATTGATTTTAGAAAAAGAGGGACAGAGACAGACATCCATGTGAGAGAGAGAAACATCCATTGGTGGTTTCCATATGTGCCTCGACCGGGGATCGAACCTGCAATCTTTTGGTGTACAGGATGACGCTCCAACCAACTGAGCCACCTGGCCACGGCTGGGCCACATTTCTTGAAGGTGGGGAAGGCACCTCCGGGTTGCTCATTCAAATTATGAGAAAGGCCAGCTCAGCCAGGGTTTAGCATTTTCACTTTGTGTAACAGAAACTCAGCCTTCTCACCCACCCCTGACTCCCCTCTGGGCAGTTGAAGAACCAGCCCCACCAACGGTCCAGAGACTGTTTTGAGCAAAAGCGTCTCAGTGGCTTTCCCCTCCACCACCAGTATTTCAACTTGGCCGTTGGGGTTCTCTCAAATTGAGCAAAGCAGCAGGAACACCCCTTTCTCTTGGACCAGAGGTGCCCTCCCTCCCTGCATCAAAGTCTGTGGGTCTAGCACCCCCAAAACTTGGTCTGGAGGAGGATCCTCAGTGGTGTGCTGGAGCTGGCTTTCACAAGCTCATTAGCCAGGGCTGTAATCTCTCTCCGACTCCAGTTCAATCATTTCACGGCCTGACATCGGCTGGAAGAGTGCAATCAGCCATGCTGGGAGACTTGACACTATGGAAACTGGCAAGCACTGCAAACCAGGGCCGCTGTCCACCCCGGGGAGCCTGCTTTCCAGTGTTTGCCAGCCCACCCCTGGGACGCGGCTCGGATCCCTTCCCGGAGGTCAAACAGAAAGTCAGGAGCAGGGTCTGCCGCGGACGACGACTGCATCCTGTGTCTGTGGGCAGCAGGGGGTGCAGAGATGGCTGGGGAGTGGGGTCTGAGGGTGGGCTGCTGGCAGGGGAGGAAGCTGGAAGAGATTTTAAAACACTAAAACTGACTCAGAGTTCTCGACATCATTTGTCTGCTCCACAAGCATTTTCTGCTCTCACCCCCGCCAAATACCTGGAATTCAGAGATGCGAGAGTCATACCCTGCCTGCCAGGAGCTCAGTCAGTGCGTGGGACAGCCATGGCTGTTTGCTGGGCTGGGGGTGGGGGGTGGGAGAGGCAGAGATGAAGACAAAAGGCTGTGGTGTGGTGGGGAGGTTTGTGAGGACAGCAGAGCGTGCACCAGGGAACCTTCACTTTTTAAAGCCAACCCCTTGTGGCTTTGAGGCCACTGTGGTGCTCGCTTGTCAGTGAGAACCAGCCATCCAGGAACCTGGCCTTCGTAACCTCCGTGGGGTCTGACTCCATGGCTGAGATTTATCAGCGGGGCATCTGGAGCTGGACGAACCCCTCCGAGCCCCTCAGGGCTTCCCTGTACGCTCTGCAAGGTTACGCGAGAGGATGGGCTTTTTAAAGGCGGGAGTCATCTGCCTCGGTAGCAAAAGTGAGTACGTGAGGGGAGCTGTGCCAGAGGCCGGGGCTGTGACATCTCCAGGCTGAATGCCTCTTGGTGTTCCAGCTGATGTCGCCCCCCGCCCCCGCCAGGCTTTCACCTGCCTCAGGCACCAGTAAGGCTGGTGGGATGTTGCAGCGGAGACAACGATGCAGCTGGCATTTGCATGCACAGTATCATTTGCACACTGCAGTCACCTTGACTTTGCTCCTCCTCCTAAACCCAGGAGATTCTAATCCCTATTCAGCAGGGGAGAAAGGCGGGAATCAGAGGGGGAGTGGAGGGTCCAGAGCCCTCCGAGAATTTCTCCCTGAGGAACAGGTCTAGAGAGAGTACCGCTCACCACCCCAAGCTGAGGTGAGGACAGGTGCTGCCCAGGTCACTGGCAAGCCCAGCCTTGCCACGGTCTTCAGTCCCACTGTTCTGGAAAACATGATCTCAGTCCCTTTGTCTGTCTTGGTACCAATGGGTACTCCCTCTCCCAGGTCTGAAAGGTGCACCCTCTGTGCCTGGAATATAGGGTGGCATTCTGACTCCCACCAAAGCAGAACGGGACCTGTCTGGTCGGCTTTTCCATGCTTCCCCCCCACCCCCCGCCCACCGCGCATCCTCTGCCCCCATTCCACAAATTCAGTCCAGGTGTCAGAGCAGCTCTGCTCTGTCGTTCTACTCACCCAAGTCCATGACACTTTCGGGCGCCGAAACCACACAGGAAGGCTGTGCCGGGGCTTGTACTCCCCTGTCTAGGGAGGAAGTGGTGTGTGCCCCTTTTAAGCAGCAAGAGGAGCCACCGCTTTCCCAGCCCCTTTCAAACGTAAGGGGTGTGAGAAGTGACAGCGTGCCACTGACATAGAGTGCCGGCCCACTCACTGGTCACAGGGCCCTGAATCACCACGTCATTTACATTGAAAACTCCCCTGTGCAGTTCTACAGAGCAAAGACTAAGGGCCCACCCCCAGGGGCCGTGTACTGATTCAACAAATATTTGTAGCCTGAATTCCACATGTGGGGGAGTCAGAGACCCAGTGAGAGCTGTGGAAGCTGTATCCCCATCTTTCTCTCACCTAGCTCTGTGTCATGGGGCGCTGCCTTTCCCAGGCTACTTTGCCCTCTGGCTTCTGGGTAGGTTTGGCCCATGAGAGGCATTGACAGATGATGGACGGTAGAAGGGAAGGGATAGGCCCAAATGTATCCTTTCTTCTTTCTTTTTTCTTTTTCTTTTTTTTAAAAAGAATTTATTTATTATTTTTAGAGAGAGGGGAAGGGAGGGAGAAAGCAAGGAAGAGAAACATCAATGTGTGAGAGAAGTATCTTGCCTCTCGTATCAGTTGCCTCTTGTGCGCCCCCTACTGGGGACCTGGCCTGCAACCCAGGCATGTGCCCTGACTGGGAATGAAACCCGTAGCCTTTCCATCTGCAGGCTGGTGCTCGATCTACTGAGCCACACCAGCCAGGGTGTTTTTTCTTTTTCATTTTTTCTTGTTTTTCTCTTTTCTTTTCTTTTCTCTTTTCTTTTCTTTCTTTCCTTTCCTTTTCTTTTTTTCCTCTTCTCTCTTCTTCTAGTTCCTCTCTCCCTTCCCTTTCTTTGATTACAGCTTTCTGAGATATAATTCCCATGTAAAATTATCCCTTTTCAAGTGTACCAATCAGTGGTTTCTGTATATCCACAGAGTTGTACAATCGGTTTTGCAGCATTTTTATCACCGCCCCTGTAAAACCTCCCCTACTCATTAGCGAGGACCCTCTCCCCTCCCCCTCCCCTCCCCTCCCCTCCCCCTCCCTCCCCTCCCTCCCCCTCCCCCTCCCCTCCCTCCCCTCCCCCCTTGCCCCCAGCCGCTGGTAACCACAAATCTACTTTCTGTCTCTACGGATTTGCCTATTCCAGACATTTCACACAAACAAAACTATACAACACGTGTCCTTTGTGTCTGACTTCTTTCACTCAGCATACTGGTGTCGAGGTTCCACTGGGTCGCAGCAGCAGCCATTTTCCCGTTCGCTGTTAGGACCCAGCAACATTCCATCTTGTGACAGATCACCTTTGGTTTCCTCGTCATCATCGTGTGCATTTGGGCTGTTTCCGCTTTTCGGCTACGATGAATAATGCTGCCACAGATAACGCTGCCACAGATGACGCAAACTTTGTGTGAACCTGTGCTCTTGGGCGTCATGCATGCCTACGAGGGGGATTGTCGGGTCCCAGGGTAGCTGCGTGTTTCATGGTAAAGACTTTTTTTGGCTGTATTTTTTTAAACAATATCCATGTTTCTGTTATTTGAAAAGAAACATTTTTATTTTTTATGTTTTTATATTCCTTTGTTTAATTTCTAGATTGTAACGGAAAATAAACACAAAATCATGTATTTTATTATACAAATGTAATACATGCAAATTTGCAGTGTTTTTATTTTATTATATTTTGTTTTGCCTTTCAGCCCACATGGGGAATGAGTGTGTCTCTTGGATACACGAGACCTGTGCTGTGATTGCGTTGACCGTGACCTCCGCAGGGTTAACAATTGGAGGCGCTGTCAAAACTGTTTTCCCAAGTGGCCTCACCGTGTTACATTCTCATCAGCAACGTGTGAAGGCTCCACACTCTCCACAAAACTTGTTATTGTCTGAATTTTTTATTCTAGCCCTCCTGGTGGGTATGAAGTGGTATCTCATTGTGGTTTTGATTTTTATGATCCTAATGATTAATGATGTGGAGCATGTTTTCACGTGCTTATTGACCATTTGTGTATTTTCTTTGGTGAAATGTCTATTTAAATCCATTGCCTGTTTCAAAATTGGGTTATTGTCATTGGTTTCTCTTGTGGGGAAGTACCTTGGTCCGTCAGGAGGCGCCAAGGGCAAGGGGAACGCATGGACAAAAACGCTTTGCTGGGAATTTCAAGAGAAGGAAGGGGAGAGGCAGGGGGAACGGGCTGAGCAGGTTGGGGATCAGCTCTGGGGCGCAGGGGCTGCTCCTACTGGTCTGGTGCCTCGCCCCCGGGGGTAATTAGGGCAGGGAACTGTTGTTTCCTGGGGTATGAAAGCCAGACCGAGGAGGTGGCTCAGAGGACAGGCTCAGCACTGGTTGGTTTGCACATTGAAGGCGTGCATGCAGACCAGCCGTGCACTGTCTCTAAGAACGCGGCCCCAAGATACCAAACTAGAACAAAACTAATACAGACCCGTCCTCCACACTGTGGTACATGCATTGAACCAATAATTGGTATGCTACGTCCCAGTGGCTGGAATTTCAGGAACCCAGGGTTGGCTCCTCTCAAATCACACCCAGTAACTCCAGTGACATTTGTTCAGCCCCGGACCTGGGGCCTGTCCCCAGAGTCTGGGGAAATATTTCTACTAGAAAACCCTTTACTAAAGGTTCCACAGAATCTGCAGCTACAAATGTTATCTAGCACTTCCTGTTTCTTATGCTAGCGGAATGGAAGTCAAAGGAAGGAGTTACCTTATTTATTTTCTTTTTTCTTTTTCAAAGTACAGTTGTCTGTACTTTAAGTGGTCTGATCACTATGAGGAAGCTGGGTTGCTGATATAATCGGGTATAGTAGGGGGAATGTGAGCAGAACTTGAGGCGGCTGCATCTCTTGGTGCACTGATGCCTGGCGATGTGGTGAACAGGTGGCAATCTCAGCCTGACAAAGGGAAGGCAGCCAAGGGTTCAGATCCCTTGGGGCTGAGGCCTGGGCCAGGTTACTTGTTCTTTATTGTTGAGGAGTAAGAATTCTTGATATACAAGTTTTAAATATTTTCTCCTATTCTGTGGATTGTCTTTTTTTAAAAAAAGAATTTTATTTATTTATTTTTAAAGAGAAAGGAAGGGAGGGATGGAGAGAGGGAGAGAAACATCAATGTGTGGTTGCCTCTCATGCACCCCTTACTGGGGACCTGGCCTGCAACCCAGGCTATGTGCCCTGACTGGGAATTGAACTGGAGACGCTTTGGTTTGCAGGCTGGTGCTCAGTCCACTGAACTACACCAGCTAGGGCTCTGTGGAGTATCTTTTCACTTTCTTGATGGTGTCCTTTGAAACACAGAACTTTGAAACGTTGAGGTCCAATTCATTTCTTTGTCTTCTGTTACTTGTGCTATTGGTGTCACGTCTAAGAACTCATTGTCTAATTCAGGTTCACAAAGGTTTATTTCTACATTTTCTCCAAAGAGTTTTACAGGTTGAGGCCTGACATTTAGCTCTGCTCCACTTCGAGTTAATTTTTGCATACCGTGTTTCCGTCTAGTCCTAGTTTGTTGGATTTTGTTAAATCCTTTTTCTGTGTTCACTGAGATAACCTTTTTTTTTTTTACCTTTTTCTATTAAATATGGTGTATCCCATGGATTCCTTTTGTCTGTTGAACTGATATTGAATTCCTGGGATAAGTCACTTGGGCATGTTGCTGGTTTTGATGTGTCAGTTAATGTTTTGTTGAGGATTTTTGCATCAATATTTATGAGAGATATTGGTCTGTAGTTTTATTATCTTGTGATGTATTTGTGTAGTTTTGGTATCAGGGTCAGTCCAGTTGATGGTTTGTCAGTTTTGCTGATCTTTTCAATGAACAACTTTTGGTTTCACTGACTTTTCTCCTCCCCACCCCCATAATTCTCTAGTTCATATTTCTTCTCTTCTGCTTGATTTAGGTTTACCTTGCTTTTTCTGATTTCTTAAGTCAAAAAATGAGATTCTTTACTGAGACGTTCTTTTTTTTCAAATATAGACACTTACAGCTGTAAATTTCTCTCTAAGCACTGTTTTAGCTACATCTCGTATTTTTTGATATGTAGTGTTTTCCTTTTCATTCATCTCAGAGTATTTTCTAATTTCCCTCATGAATCTTATTTGACACATTGATTATTTAGGAGTGAGTGTGTTGTGAATTCTTTCAACCTTCTTCTGTTATCGATTGTGGTTGGAGAAGGTACTTAAATTTACTGAGATTTGTTTTATGTCCTAACGTGGTCTAGCCTGGAGAATGTTCCATGTACACTCGAAAGGAATGTGTATCCTGCTATTGCTGGGTGAAATATTCTATTGATATCTGTTAGGTCCAGTTTCTTCGTAGTCTTGTTCAACTCTTCTGTTTCCTGGATGACCTATTGCCTAGCTGTGCCTGTTACTTAAAGGGTACTGAAGTCTTTCACTATGAATGTTAAATTGTGTGTAACTTTTATTTCTCTTTTCAATTCTGTCAATGTTTGCTTTGGATATTTTGGGGCTCTGTTGCTTAGGTGCATATATGCTTACTTGTTCTGTCTTCTTCTTCTTTTTTTTTTAAGATTTTATTTATTTTTAGAGAGGGAAGGGGGGGAGAGAGAGAGAGAGAGAGAGAGAGAGAGAGAGAGAGAGAGAGAGAGAGAGAGAGACATTGATGTGCGGTTGCTGGGGGTTCTGGCCTGCAACCCAGGAATGTACCCTGGCTGGGAATCGGACCTGGGACACTTTGGTTCCCAGCCCGCGCTCAATCCACTGAGCTACGCCAGCCAGGCCTTGTTCTGTCTTCTTGAAATATTGACTCCTTCATTGTTATAAAATGTCCACCTTTATCTCTACAAACAATTTTTGCCTGAAAGTTTATTTTGTCTGCTATTAGGATAGCCTTTCCAACTGCTTTTTGGCTACTGCTTGCATGGTATATATTTTTTCCTCATGAGGATGTTTCTTTCCCCAGCCAGCACCTGCTGGGTAACCCTCCTTGGTCCTAGATGTGCCCTAGTACTGCCCTGCTCTGGACTCTGGTATACACTGTCTTCTTCCTGCATCCCTCCAGCTCTAGGGATGATGGCAACTTCCTGCTGTTACTAATCTCTGGGTGACCTTACCAGCCCTTGTTTGGCTTCT